CCTCCCCTCTCTCCCTTCTCCTCCTTCCTTCATCATATACCGGATTTCCAGGAAGAGCTCCCAATCTATGAAACTTGAGCCTGAGCCCAGTTTATTTGTCCCTAGTGCACAGCACGTGCGTTCCCTGCACCAGCCCTTACAGACAGCGGTGGCTATGGCTGGTGCTGTTCAGGGTGGAGCATTTGTCCTGTGCCCACCGTACTCTACCAGACAGGACAGGTGGCCACCTTCTGCTGCTTACCCGGGAATTCTGTTAGTGACTTAGTAAGTCCTTGTTTACGTGCACAGGCCTGGCTGTTCTGATGGAGTGGAAATGCAGCTGTGCCCTCCTCAGCTTGTGCTGCAGGAGCAGCGGCTGCACGGGGGCAGCTGTGAAAACACATTTCTGAGGACCCCGATCAGTGTCATGGGTCAGTGGTGCAGTCCTTGATCTTTCGTGAGTGCTAGTCTGTGGAGACTGGAGACTCTCGGCTTGGACAGCACCTGGGAAGCAGTGATCAAGCTGCAACAAGAACGGACATGTTTGTCACCCTGACTTCTGTGGTAGCGTGTCAATAGCATTCCATTTAGTGCAGTGAGACAGGCTGCTTGGGCTGATCACAAGGCCGCGTCACTATTTAATAGTGTGACTCTTCTGTCTAATTAGGGATAGTTCGAGCGCTCCTCTCCCCACTCAGGGAGAGACTTGGGTTCTGGCCCAGGTCGCTCTTGACTTGAGAGAGTCTAAGTCACCAGGCCATAAGAACTGCAGGGTTTGCCCTTACTGCAGTCACTTCTGTGCTGTGCTCTTGCCTCACAGCTCTGCCTGCCCAGACGCAAACATAGAGGCAGGCGTGTCGTGGGTGTTGCTCAGATGGGCTGGTGTGAGCGCAGCCTCTCCGAGTTAAGTGCTGGGAAAGGTTCAGTGTGAGAAACCCTTTCTTCTTTCTCAGGAGACCTGTGCTTCATCAGTTGATCCCACCAAGTTGAAGAAGAATAGTAACGATTTTAAATCTAGCAACTAATAAAAGTAATGCTGACGCTAGCTTGGCTCCAAGACTCCATTTTACATATAGACGGTGAGAACTCCAAACTGCAAGTCAGTCAGGAAGATGTCGGAGCTTTCCCATTGTGTCACATCATCTGTAGGAAGAGTGACTGTCTCCAAGGGGACAGTGTGCAGTTACCATGGTGACATCAGGAAACAGCATCATACTGGCAAATGCAGGCAAATGGGTGGAGGGCGGGTTATATACATGATACATGACAAGCCCGGACCCTCTTCTGCTGCAGGGCTTGCTGTGCTTGGGAAGTGCAGAACTACCGATCTGCCCCCAGCTGCCCAGTACCTCCTTCCCATGGTTACGGTCTCCCACGGTTACCGTCTCCCACAGTTACCATCTCCCACAGTTATGGTCTTCCATGGTTACTGTCTTCCACGGTTACAGTCTTCCACAGTTACAGTCTTCCACAGTTATGGTCTTCCATGGTTACTGTCTCCCACGGTTATGGTCGCCCATGGTTACTGTCTCCCACGGTTATGGTCGCCCATGGTTACCATCTCCCACGGTTACCGTCTCCCACAGTTATGGTCTTCCATGATTACTGTCTTCCACAGTTACGGTCTTCCACAGTTACAGTCTTCCATGGTTCCTGTCTCCCACAGTTATGGTCGCCCATGGTTACGGTCTCCCACGGTTACCGTCTTTCAAGGCAGTATCCAGGTGCATCACTTAACCTCTGAGCACTCACAGAGAGGAGGCTCGTCCAGACAGAATCTCTCTTGCATTCCTCTCTTTGTTCTTTCAAGTGAAACCATAGTTGTGATTCAAGTCACAGGGAACAAGATTGTGGCATCAGAGGGAGGCCAGCCTACATGGCAGCCTTTCCAATGGTTGAGGTATCTGGAAGGCACACATGCAGAGCCTTTGCGCTATGCTTAATTTTAGAAACTGCTTAATTTTAATGTGTTGTCCATGGCACAAAAGAAATTTTCACTGGGAGACTTCTGTGGTGTTTGAGGTAATGGCTCTTATGTTACTAGAATCCTGTAAGGACAAGGCCAGCAGGAACCATTCCCTCTGTCCCGAAGGTTTTCTTTGGCCTCCGCATCCTCCAGAGCACTTTCTAACATGGCTAGACTGTACTGAGTTTCCACTAAGCTCCATGCCCACCAGCTAACGGTTCTCCTTTTGAACTGTGTTAAGGCTGCACCGATCCTCAGTCTACAGAGAAGCCTGTGTGTCAGCGCTTCTCACACACATCCAAGATGGCCGCAGGTACCTCCAGCAGCCTCTGTGTGACCTTGCTGGCCATCTTCTTTAAAAAAAGAGAGAGAGAAAGAAAGAGCAATAAGGAAGGAAGGAAGAGAGAAGGAAAGAAAGAGAAGAAAGAAGAATGGAAAGAAAGAAATGGACAAACCGAAGAAATGTTTGATGTCTCAACTGAGATGTTAAGAAGACAGTAGGTTTTTCTTCTCTCTGGTAAAATGAACTAGAATTGAGTCTGCTAGTTCTCCTCAGACCTGCAGTGTTCACTCCTGAGACATGCTTGGCTCTTCTCCCCAGAGCTTGAGCAGATGTGCTCTGAATGGGCTCTGCCTGCCTGGGCCACAGGGGCTGCACATTTTACCTTAATCAGGAGCCAAGTAATTACAGGATGAAGTATTTGGGAGCTTTGTTTCTTGCGGTTCTCTGTGAAGACATTGCAGGGGAGCACTGGGCAGGAATGCTAATATTAATGCGCCTTTGTAATCCAGGAACATTCCACATAGGAAGACAACTGTTGTTTATATGACAACACAGAAAGCCAGAAACTCCTGTGGCTACTGTCAATGTGTTTTTTGGGTGTACACAGGTTAACACTGAGATGGAAGGGTGGCGGGGGGGGCAGGACCGAGGCACCCCCAGCAGGCCAGTGTTGGTGACCTGAGGCAGTATGTTCCCAGCTCTCCCTCCCGCGCTGCCCCCTCACTGTCCTGCCTTTGCCTCCGTTCTGGCCTTGACTTCCTCGAGCAGCTGCCATGCCGAGCCTCTGGGCAGGGCTCTGCACACTAGGAATCAGAGTGCTGTGTGTAGCTTTCTGCCCTCTCTGAGACCTTCTGTGTGTGCTGCGTGCAGCCTCTGGGTGAGACCTTGTGGCTGGCGTGGTGGCCAGTCTGTGCGGCTTTTCTTGCTGCTCCTGGGCATCCTCAAAAGCTACGCTCACAGGAAGAGGACTGACTCAGGCCGTTCAGATGCTGGCTCCACATGCCACGTGCTGTCTTCCTGTCTGCCTGAAAGCACAACTGACTAGAGACCAGAGTTAGCATGGGAACTTGGGGTAGTTGGGGCCACAGCAGGTGGGGAGGTGGAGACAGCTCTGTCACAGCCCACATTCCAGAAAAGAATGACAGCTCTGCCAGGCTTGGGGGTACACAGCTCTCCTCCCAGGGCTTGCGAAGTGGGGCAGCCTGGGCTGCTTGACACCCTCAAAACAAGCAGACATTCCTTACAGAAGACCTACAGTTATCACAAGAAAATTGTTTATATCATTCTTCACATTTTTTATGCCAAGCATGGTGACATACCTTTAGTCCCAGGACTTGAAAGGCAAAGGCCAGCAGACCTCTGAGTTCAAAATCAGCCTTGTCTACAATAGTGAGTTCCAGGCCACCCAGAGCTACATAGTGAGATCCTGTCTAAAACAAAACAAAACAAAAATCTGAAAAGAAAATATGTTAATCTAGCAAATACTAAGTTTTGTAAGAGGAAAATTGGAAATGTACAGCCTCTAGTCCGAGCTCAGAGCGGGAACTTCGGTCTCTCCGAGCCCCGTGCCCTCGGCGTCTGCAGCCCAAGGAGAGGCAGCTTTGGGGTGCAGTCTGCAGGGGCGCTGGCCTCTCCCTCGCTGCCACACTCGGCTCTGAAAGGGACCAGGGTGGCAGCGGCACAGCTCCCATTGCAAAAGAACTGTTTTTCTCAGTATCTGAGACTTATCCAGAGGCTTAAAAAGTATTTTTAGTTTTGGAAAAAAAAAAAAAAAAAAAAAGCTGCATGCCTATTTATTTAGGATTTTGATGCATGTTGTTTCCAACTGAATTGAGGCTATTTTCAAAACAAAGATTAAGAGATTTGGCTCACTTTGCTTGTCCTGGTGAATATGCCAAAGGTCTGTTTCCCATAAGATGTGTTTGCCCTCAGTGGCTGGTCTGACTGTGAGTTTATTATAGCAGAGGTTTAACAACAGAGTGTGCTACAGAGCCTTGGTGCACACTTAGGTTGTTAGAGTCTATAAATAGCACACGAGGTATTATGGAAACACATTAGAGTCACAGTGCTCAGAAGGAGGAAGAGGAGCCAGCGTGTAAATGTGCCCACAAGTGGGCGCCTTGCCGGCACTGCGTGCTGCCTTGACTTTCTTAGAGTAGTGACATGGGATGTCCCCTCCTGGGCCCTGGTGTCCGAATTGTACACGTCCGCCTTACAGGCCGTGTCCCCCCTTCTGCACACTGTGGCTGGCTCACGCACACCCAGCGTCCACCTCTTCACATGGGGGCCGTGAGCATCCTGGGGCAGGCTTCAGTGTCTGCAGTTGCTCAGAGCCGCCATCTGCTTCCACTTGCCTTGTGGTCTTGGAGATCATGCTTGGCCCATGGGTACTGCAGCGTGCCCAGAGGATGTGGAGTTTTGTCAGCCAGTGAAATATGTCTGGCTTTTTTTCCTCCCCCCACCCCCAGCTTTCATTTGCTCTTCACCCTGTGTGGTCTTCACTGAGCTGAAGTATTATTTAACAAAACTGTGCTCTCTTTATCATTTTCTAAGGAGAAGGTGTGTAGAATCTGAGCCACAGAGGTACAGCAGCGAAGCCCGTGAAACACTGCAGCAATGGATACGGCTGTGTCTGCCGCTGTCCCGAGGACAGTGCGCCACTGCTGTGCGTGTGGGATCTGGGGTGCAGACGGCCCCATGGGAGCCGCAGAGCTGCCACACTCTGCCGACAGTCAGCGCCAGGACGTCTGAGCCAGCTTTCCCTTGTTGCAGGCACTTCTGCAGTCTTCAGTGAAGCAACAGCTAGACGCCATCGAGAAACAGTACGTGTCTGCCATCGAGAAACAGGCTCACCGCTGTGAGGAGCTGCTGCACGCCCAGGTACAGAACGCGGGCCCCACACACTCGCGCTCCACCCTGCCTCCCTCCTCCTCGTGCACCCTCTCTGTCCGCTGCCAGCCCTCCTGCTCCTGCCATGTCCTGGAGGAAGTCCGCTTGAGCAAAGGTGGCATTTTGTGATGGGTGAGGATAGGCCCCAGGCCTACACCATGTGGCGGCCCTCGTCCAGGGTTGCTAATATTTCTATTTCTGGGTTCTACTGAGGTTCACAGAGTCACAGATGCAAAGAGATGGCCAAGTGCTTCAACCTCTGTGAATGGCTCTTGTGACATTTATAAATGATGTTCACATTGTAAAATTAAATTTTGATGGATATAGAAAAACAAAGTATATCTACACTGTCAGAAAAGAGTTTTTGACAATTCTGTATAAAGTACCAGCTTCTGTTTGAACTTTTCCTTTAACTGTTTTTAAAAGCCAAAACCCTGAGCTCTACTTTACACTAATCAGCCATCAGTTGGAGTGTGTTTCTCGTGTACCAGAGTCAAGAATGTATGTTAGACCCTTCTTGCCAAGCCGGCTGGCCAGGCCACCAGCCTCTGAGATCCTCCTGACTCAGTCCTACAAATGGTACAAGTTTGTACCCACCTGTAATTTCAGATCCAGGGCATCCAACAAGCACCTGGAAGCAAATGTTCTCTCTCTCTCTCTCTCTCTCTCATTCATACACACACACACACACACACACACACAAAGAGAGAGAGAGATACACACAAACACAGACATTCATACACATAGATATATGCACATATACAATTAAAAACAATAAAAGAAAAAAGTGAAAGAAAACCGGGGCCAGAGGATCATTTTCTGAGCCAAGTGGTCTCTTTGGCCTCTCACTGTTTCATTAGTCAGCTCTGCTTCCTAACAGCAAAGCCACAGGCAGTCAGCTGTGTTTCTGTGCATCATATTCAGAATTTACAAGTTGAGGGAATCACGAATGTTAGGATGGGCCAGAGGTCCCTGAAAGAAACCCTGCCAGCCGTGGGTCGGAGCCTCGAGCGAGCTGCCTGACAGGAGGCTCCGTCAGGATACACCCAGCAGAGGCCACCTGTCGTCATGTCTGGCTGGAGCCCTCCAGGAGAGAGCTTCAGGCTCAAAATGTGCTCTCAGGTTCCGTTTCAGTGCTCTGTGGTGGGGTATAGAAGTATGTGGGAGTATGTTGGTTTAAACCAGTTTGTGAATGTTATGTTTAAGTGGATCAAACTACTTTTTAATGTGTCAATACAAAACTTTTCCAATTTTTTATTTTTTAATTAAATTTTTATTTTTTATATTAATTACAGCTTATTTACTTTGTCCAGTTTTTATTCTTTAATCTTTCATATCTGTGTTCTTTCTGTGTTACCATGTTACCATGTGAGGCGGACTCCACCTTCCCGTCCCGGGTTCGCACCCCTGCTCCGCCACGTTGTTTCTATAACAGGTGGGCTGGAACCAGGAAATGCAAACCCTCTGTGTTCTCGTCATCTGGAGTTGCTTGGCCACTGATGTCTCAGGTTTCCGAGTCAGGTGTATAGGCACTGTGAGTTTGTCCAACAAGGCAGGCTGGTATGTGGATAGAACCGAGTCAGGCCTGGGGGGTGGGCTCTGGTAGTGTCTTGGGCTGCAGGGTGGCTGTGTGTGACGGGCTACGTTGCAGGGTGTAGGGCTGGCACATCGCTGATTTCAGCTTTTCAGTCCTGGTAAACTGTCGTCATCACCCCACCCTCCATCTTCTGTTACCAGTTAGTGCTTGTTGCAGTGTGTGACAGTGCGGTCTGTCGGTTTTTTATCCTGTTACGGTCAAAGATTACTTACCAATTTTAGCAGGTGTTTCTGGGAAAAGCCAGGCGATTTTTTTACTTAGTTATGTTTTCTGAATATCAGACCTTTTGCGTCTTTCCTTTTATTCTTGATGTTGTCTTACTGTCCTGTTCCTGTGATGTACACCATGACCAAGGCAGCTTACGGAGGAGGAGAGAGTTTCTTGGGCTTCCAGGTGGAGAGGGTTAGAGTCCATGACTGTGAGGACAGCTTGGAACCTGACTCTGAGGCCAGCTCACAAACCATAAACAGAGCAAAGCCCGCTGGGAGTGTGGACCTTCTGCGGCAAGGTGGTGCCACCTAAGCCTCCCCAAACAATGCCGACAACCAGGGTCCAGGGCTGCTCAATGCCTGAGCCCATGGGGACTTGTGTGTCTTCCTCTTCCTCGTCTTGCCAGTTGGAATCCTGTGGTGGTAAAGTGGAAGGTTAGGAAGCGTGTGCTGTGGCCTCTTGACTGTGCCGCCTGAGGGAGTGTGCCTGCTTTTAGCTCTGGTGAGTGTAGCTGCAGCCGCCCTCAGCAAGGCTCTGTGCTAAGTTGAGCCCCTTATTCTAGACATAGATGTTGGATTTTATTTATCAGCTGACTATTCATACTTCCTTTGGGTAAGTATGTTTGTGTTTAAGCTTTATAGAACTTCCCTTTATTGTCCTTTTAGTGGTGTGGAAATTTTGGTTATGTCTCGTGGTCAGATATCGTAACTATGTCATGTTGGATTGATCAGTATTTTGGAACTTCTCAAAGAACCGAGGAGACTTGTGGCTTTATTGACTTCAGGCCGCATTCTCTTGTCCTCTGCAGTGGAGCCCTCCTCAAGAGCTTTATAGTCTCGCTCTAGAGGCAGGAGTCCATTTTCAAACTCATGTTTTCACCTTCACTTAAAATGACTTTAATTTGTCTTGTAACTGGGTCTAAACTTTTTTTGTTCTTTTCCAGATATTTTGATGTTTTTCAGATGTAGCTTATTTTATTGCTTTTAAGTCTTGTTGTGGTATAGTTAGAGAACATACTTTATGTGGTTTCGATATATTTTGAGGTCTGATTGATGGCCCAGAATGTGTGGAATGTTTACTACCATCACTCAGATGCGTCTCTGGTCTCCAGGATTTCTTTACTGTTATAGTCTTCTGTCTGCCTGCCTGGGAAGCTGTTAAGGGGAAGATACTGAAATACTTTAATATGCTCATGGATGTGCCTACTTTCCTGTTCTTCTCTGTCAAGTTTTAACTCTAGAACACTTGACACATAGCTGACACACATGAGAACTGTTATGCCCTCTCCGTGTACTTGTTCCTCTATGCTATGAAATGCCCATCTCTTACTTGGTGATCCTGGTTGCAGTAAGGTATACAAACAACCCACCTTTACTTTGATTATTGTTAGTTGGGTATATTTCTCTCTATCTCTTTATTCTAGATGAATTTTTGTTTTAATATTCCAAATGGGTTTCTTGTAGGAAGCATACAGTTGCATCTCATAATTAAACATAATGTTTTCTGGCTTCTATTTGTATTTGAAGATTCTCAATTTATTTCTTCCAGTCAATTTAAGGCTCATTTCTTAGGATCTATTTTAGGAACCAGCTTAAAATATTATTCATTTGTAAAGTGGATTTTAAAATGAGTGTTTTTAAAGAGTTTATTGTTAGTAAGCACCTAGCCATGAAATAACTATAAATACATTGTTAATCTGACGTAAAATATTGTGACACAGTGGTGTCTCGTGATCTTTAGAACATGTAAATCGTGTTAAGAAAACTGATTGCATATTTAAAATTACATTTCAGTACAGATAAATACTTGAGTTAAAGATGGCCTCACTGCCCAAAAAGTCTGCTTGGAAGCATGCCATTAGTATTCCTTGTTCTAACCATGTGTGAGGTGTCTGGGAATTACCGCCGTGGGGGCTGGACACACGGTGCGCAGCGAAGTGCACAGCAAGGAGGGGAGGAGGCGCGTGCACAGCCCTCCCCTCATTTTGGTGTCCTATGGCCGCTTCACCTTGTCGTGTGACGGCAGTGGCACCGTGTATTGATTTCCAGTTATCACTAGGAAGCAGCCTGTTGTCAGTGCAGACCTTGTGTCCTGGGGCTCAGTACCAGCCAACAGAGATTTCGTGGCTTTGGAGACCGAGCGCCTTCATGTGAACCTGCTCATCTTGAAGTAGGAGTGTCTGCTGCCTGCTTTCCTCTTGTGTCTGTGCTCTGGGCACTGCAGCCCAGCAGCGTGGAGGAGAGCACGCAGCCTGCCCCGGTTCCTCTCCTGCAGCACCGTGTTCCTGTCCGCTGTCCTCTTCATCTGAGAAGCCCTGACTGGCCTTCCACCCAGCCTGTGCCCCTCAGCGCCGTCTCCGCCTTTGTGCGCTGCGGTCTGGCCGTGGTAGCTCTCAGAGCCTTGACCCCTTGTGCCCTTGAAGACGGCGGGGCCCGCTCTGCCCCTTCATCCTCGCTTGTTTGCTTTCGACGGATACCTTTCCTCCTCTGCTCTGAGGTTGGAATTCCAGTGTGCCGTCCAGTCTTTTTCTTCATGGTCAGCTTGGCCATATAGTGAGACGCCATCTGTGTCCTCCAACAAAAGCAGTTAAATTTCTGGATTCTTGAAAAAGTAAATAGGTGGGGAAATAAGGCTTCATTTTCTGTCAGTAAGATATCAGATAATTGGTTGTTAACTGGAGTTGATGTGTATGTGCGGGGGCTGCATGGAGTGAGTTTGCACATGTTTGAGCAAGTGTGTTCATGTGTGCAGAGCCCCAAGGGTAGATCAAGAGCTTCCTGGCTTGTTCTCTTCCTTACTCTTTTTTTTTTTGGGGGGGGGAGGAGTATAGCAGGGGGGTCTCACTCTGTAGACCAGGCTGGCCTTGAACTCACAGATATCTACCTGCCTCTGCCTCTGCCTCTGCCTCCTGGTTGCTGGGATTAAATGTGTGCGCCATTACACAACCGTCTCTGCCTTGTTCTTCCCCGCATGCTCTCAGTCGAGCCTGGGTTAGTCCTTTGGGAGGCCTTCCATGCCCGCCTGGCACGTCCGTGGCTTCTGGGGTCACACTCCTTCCTGCTGAGCCGTCTCCCAGCCCTCCGTGAGCGTGTCTCCTGAGCAGCATTCCGTGTGTTTTTATGCGGGCTGTAATTACAGCTGAGGAGCAGTTCAGTGTGCTCTGCACTTGTATACCGTGTGTGAG